TCCAGTTATGTGTATACAACACTGACATGGAGTGACCATTATATTCTGTCATCCAGTTATGTGTAAACAACACTGACATGGAGTGACCATTATATTCTGTCATCCAGTTATATGTATACAACACTGACATGGAGTGACCATTATATTCTGTCTTCCAGTCATGTGTATACAACACTGACATGGAGTGACCATTATTTTCTGTCATCCAGTTATATGTATACAAGACTGACATGGAGTGACCATTATATTCTGTCATCCAGTTATATGTACACAACACTGACATGGGCTGACCATTATATTCTGTCTTCCAGTTATGTTTATACAACACTGACATGAACTGGTTATGGTTTTTCAACATGAAAAATCATAAGTGCTGAAAATGTCAAGTCATATAATTATGGTCAAAGTACAAAGCAGCTAGGGGATATCTGTGCCATCTGTGATGGTCAGTCTATTTTCACTAGGAGATGGGGCTTTTTTTGTGGTCAAATACAGTAGTTACCTTTAGGCAGGGTTTCCAAAGTACTATTAGCGGTGTCTGCATGTAAATCTACGACAGCTACCGTGGCTCCCTCTTTAGCAAACACCTGGCACACGGCTTTCCCGATACCACTGCCGGCACCTAGCAAAAGAATTATGCTCATGAAATAAATAACCGTTACAAAAGCTAGAATTTCTTTAAAACATGTTTAAGATATCTTCATCACTATGTTGGTGACTGTATTTGTTTTGTGTAAAACATCTTAATTTTCTGGGTATTTGTTATGGCGGACAAGATGCATGTACATGTATGTAGTGTCTGCAAAGGGGGGAGGTCATTGGAGGGGGGAGGTCATTGGAGGGGGTCTCCTCTCAACATTTTGATTTGTTTTCTAGAAGCTTTTTAGAATGATATCCAAACTGTTGTTGCCTTATTTAATTTAAAAATGAAAACAAAAGTTAGGTTGTGCATATGTATAGCATAATAGATACTGAGTCTAGTAGATTTTACCTTAAATGTCTCTTGGCTGATATTTTGTGTGCAGACTTACATGTAACAGCTTCTTTTATATCAATAATGTATAAGTAGACGTGACTGAAGGGAAACTGACAGGCTTGTTCATTTCAATATTGACAAGAGAATGAAATATACATTGATCAGTAATGGACACACCTATCATTAACAATTAACATATGCAGTAATGGTCAATAATGAGCTGGCCCAATTAATAATGCCTACTAAGGAGCTGCAGTGAAACGAGCTTGTTAGGGCAACATTATACATATATTGCCATTCCAGTAGGAAAACATGATTCTTTGAGGTTAATTATGTTTCACGAGGGCAAAGCAAAATATGATTTATCAAGGAGAAACAAAGAATTATTATTCCCTAATGCATGGGCAGTACATTATGCCTTAAAAAAATCAAAAACAATAACACAATAGTATCAGGTTGGTGCACCATTGATGTTGTCTGTTTGTCATTCAGAACTAGGTTGTGGTGGCTCTTGGGAGTTTTTCTAGAAAGGCTCCAAATAAGGGAAATTAATCGGGGAAACTGAGGCGTGTGAGGGCGACATGATGTTTTGTTACCCTGTCATGTAACCAGTATCTGATCATTAAGGTGAGGTGTAATAATACTGACAGCATATACTTACAATTTTGATTATGATTAAAGTAGTTTAATTCTAATTTTTGAAACAGTGCACAGCCAGACCAGGATTTGAACCCAGGACCCTCTGAACTCTAGACAGAAGCTCTACCAAGTGAGCTACCTGGTCACCAGCAATAGACCTAGTCCATGCAGTTCCACTACATTAATCCTCCCTCCTTTTCATAAGTGTGCTCCCGAAGACATCACTATTCAGAGGCGGATTTAAGGGGTTGTCACCAGCGCACGGGGTAGCACCAGCGCACGTGACACCCCCTGCCCTTGACTTTAAAAAATAATAGTATATCAATACATATACTGCATCTATCGTGTGACACCCCAAAGCTCTGTTTGGTGTACACACTGTAACCTTAGGGCCATCCTCGATATCCAGGGGTTACGCTCACATTCGCTCTCTGCAGAGAGCAAAAGTTAAGTGTAACCCCTGGATATTGAGGATGCTTGAATTTAGCCAGACCAGGGTTCAAACCCGGGACCCTCCTAACTCTAGACAGAGGCTCTACCAATTGAGCTACAGGTAGCTGATGATTGACCCTTTCCAGTTATGCTACACATACATTTGAACAAAATGACGAATGAGTACATAGGAGTACAGATGTTAAGGTGTACCAGGTTGTTTTGATATCAAAATGTTTCCTTACTATTCTGAAATATTAAACTGACTATATCTCAATCCTTTTAAATGTATAGTATAACCTATATCTGCACTATCAAAAAAGTTGAAAGGAGACTGAGTCAGTTATTTCGGACTATTTCAGTAATTGCATAAAACGTTTGTTCTGACATTCTTTGAAATTATAAGATTCCCAGCACTACGAATAACGTTCAACTTACAGTAAATAACAGCAACACTTTTTATCTGGTGTTTAAAGTATGAACTTTATACACATTTTTTTTATACCTGACGGTACCCTCAATTTTTATAAGGTTTTAGAACGTGTATAAACACTGGATACAAAGTGTTGCTGTTATTTACTGGGGTGTATAGTTTTATTACTAACCGAAAGTATACCGAAACCGAGCCCCTGTGGTTCAACTTTGTTATTTAATGTGTTTTATACATTATATTAATGTTTTAATCTGAGTTATGATTTTATGTCCTGTGTGTTGCTAATCGCATATATATTTCAAGATTCTGCAATATATTTCGTCCTTACAAACAGTAGTACCAAAACATCTTTTCCTCGGGAACTAACATGCACTGAAACGTGTTGAATTATAAGAACATGGTAGATTTAATATAATTCGTTCAGGTGAGTTTGACAGTTTCGTGCTCCGCCTACATTATCAGTACATTGTAACCTTTGTATCCACAAAGATCTCCTCAAAACTATCAGTCGTTTGATGACAGTGCGTGGAACAACTATTTCTACACACGCGATAACTTAACTATGGCAAAACAGTTACACAAAAAAGTTATTATATCACCTGCAAATGCAAGTGAATTACCTGTCACAAGTGCCAGGCGACCGGCAAGAAGACCTACAGCGGAAGCCATTGTGAACTCTGGAATGTGTATTTTTAGTAACGGAAGTAGCTAATTGTCCAATCAATATTTAGTGGTGACGTAGGGGATTGCACCATCATTGCGGGGATACCCTTCCGTTGTGCAATGAATGTCCTCTATAACTATCATGGGATCGGCAGTCAGATTCATTTTTACTTTGGTGAGAGCTGTCACAAGGTCTAACGTTGGACGGAGACTTTTCGTCGCTGTAGAAAATGATATTAGATTTCAAACGTCGGGAGAGAAAACGTTCAAAACAACGACGATGGCGAATAATTCGGCGGAAAACAAGTTTCATAAATACCTGGTAAATGATTTGTCAGTCTGTAATATAGTTCAATAACGTAGAGCGTAGCAAGTTACTTTTTATTGTTAGTTAATTGTCTAATAATTCAATACTTCAGGTTTCATAATGATCAATCTGTCAAAGTTATATTCTCTATGTAATGTAATCAAGTGTTACTGACTTTTTTATTGCAAGTTTTCATATATCTAAGATCGTGTAAGAAGCTTTTAACTTATATATAGATCTGATACAAATAAACACATGTTTTCTCTGGACATAAACGAGTAGGCGGCCGGCGGGAAAACTGATTTCCACTGGAAAGATCTACGTAAACTACAAATGTGTTTACATGAATTACTGGTATATGTTCTGTTTATATGTCTATATTTATTATGAACAAGTTCGTTAGAATGCCGTTTGTATTGACAGATGATTTATTTTACCTTATTAGGTAACAGATAATTAATAGTGTGCTACCGCTGTGATATATTTTTCGCTCACCTCGCCAAAAATTCATCCCTGATGTGAGGTATGGATAAATTAATTAATTCAAACCCAAGGGATAAAATATATCACAGCGGTAGCACACTATGGATTCTATTTCTTGCTTATTACCAAAAACCTGTAAAAGCTGCTGCTCTTCTAGTAAAGTTGTAAACTTTCCGCACATTTCTCATTTCGGAACGTCACTACACGACGTCACTAACAACAGTGAGACCCTGAAAGGTCACTATAATTCCCCCGCCAGTCTTTGCTTGTAAGCGATCTAGACCTGTGGGTCAGATAGAATTTTCCAGCACTGCCGGAAATGCGGATATCTTAGTCTAGTATGGAAGACTATCAAATCTTGAAACTATGATGTTGTACTAACGTTAAAATACAAATCAATAAATAAAATAATCCTTCAAAATCGTTATTTCAAAGGCTATTTTGAAACGTTGGTTCCACATTGTAATAACGTTGTAGGGTATCTATCAAAATCATTATTTCAAAGGCTATTTTGAAACATTGGTTCGATGTCATACTAACGTTGTATATCCAACCATCAAAATCACCATCTGAAAGGTTATTTTGGAACATTGGTTCGACATTGTACTAACAATGTGCTCCGATTTCCTTTAAAGGAAATCTTAAATTTTGTAATACGACGTTGGTTTGACATTGCAAACTTAGCTTCGACCAATACAACCTTATCTGAAGTTATAGCCCGACGTATATCTGCCAGCTGGGATGCAGGTTATATCGGTAGATCTAGACCACAGCTGAATATCTGTTCAGATTGGATCAGTACAAATCATCTGATGTAGGAATAAGGGTTGAAATTTGCTCCAAATTGACCACTACAATTGGAAGAATGGAATATGGAAAAAAAGTTTTTAAAATCTAGTCTTTTTTTTATCAAAATGACAGAAAATCAATATCTCAAAAAATCAGATTAACACTGTTAATGAAATTAACTCATAACTTTTTATCACTACTATTGTTTAGGTTCAAATATCATTTAAATGTTATTGACTTCCAACTTTGAATGATTTTCTGTAGATCTTTATCAAAATTTCTATTTTTCAAAAACATGCAAGTTATCTCCCTTGCATTGTTAATGAATTTGGACATTTCATCAAAATTTGTCTTTTTGTATATTTTTTCTTCTGCTTCCACTTTGTGAAATAAAAAACAAATCTCCTGTTAGGCATCATAAAAATTGATCAAATATTTTGTGAGAACAGTTAATCTATTGAGTTACACATTGCATGTGGAGCAATAGATTCAAATTCAAGATAATTAGTTTTGGAAATGTATATTTCGATAATTTCTATCAAACTTTCACACTGAAATTAACCAAATGTGAGTGTTTCAAATGAATCCGAATGAATTAAAGAATAAAACAAACTTCCTATATTGTACAGATAGTGGGCATGTGTAACCATGGAATGCCAAAATCACGACACAGCGTGGGCATACAAGTGTTGGATCGACTGGCAACAGACCTAGACCTGAAATGGACCAGGGACAAGAATTGTGCAGGGTTCACTGCAACATTTGACTTGAATGAAGGGGCCCAGGTTATCATGTTAAAGCCGAAACAGTTCATGAATGTGAATGGTAAATCAGTAGGTAAAACAGGTAAGCAGGATCAAATTATTTATACAACAAAACATTCCTAATATTAGCATGCTAAATTATTTTGAACTCATCTATTAAAAAAAAATATACTTGTGTATGACTCTCCAAGCTGATTATAAGGAAATGGTTTCTTAGGTTTCTTAAGTTTATTATAAAAATGTTTAGCTGTGTGTATTTTAGTTTAAATCATAGTTGGAAGAACAGGTTTAATTTTTCTGTTAATCACATCTGATAAAACACTCTCTGGCAATAAAAGAACTCTCTCAAACTGAGATTTTATATTGGTTAACCTGTATTTGTGTAACACAAATTATAAACATGGTATACATTTATGGCAAGCTCATTCCTTCAAATTACAATTTATTTAATTCAAAGTAAGTAGATGAGATTATGATATATATACACACCTGGTAAATGCATAAAAAATCAGTTGTTAAATTTTTTCAGAATAATTCGAATAACTGCATGATGAACATATGAAGTAATATTTGATTAATGGATTTGTTTATTTTGCAGTTCGTCAGCACAATATAGATGCAGATAAAGTTTACCTCATGCATGATGACTTGGACAGAGCTTTAGGCAAGGTCAGCATCAAAGAAGGCGGCAGTGCTGGGTAGGTCACCATGTTTCTTCAATTTAAATAAATGGTTACCTTATTGGACCAAATAAATGCCCATGTTGTTAAACAATTTGGCAGCGTAAACATGATTGCAAAACTTTCCAAACTTCTGAAGAAAAAATATCCCATAATAGACACTTTTTCAAGCAGGTCAGCAAACTATGGGGAAAGGATAGCTTGGATATGAAAAGGATAGGAAATACTTTTAAGGGACAGGGTGTTTATTGGGTCAAATACAGCATATCATTGTTAGTTATCCAAGTTAGATGTGCAGCAATTTATGAGGGTCTTTATAATATACAGACTCAATAGATTTCGTATTTATATTCTGTATGCCAGGACATTTTTTCTCAGTTTAACTTTCGCCTTTTTGCCTTCCTAATGAGAGCGATTTATCATTATCATTATTGATTACTGTAAACGTGGAATATTACGTGTGGGGGTAATTTACGCTTATTACGCGGAGCTTGATCAGCCGCGTAAATTTCCCCACGTGTATGATTTTGACGATAGTGTAAGGAACAACAACTTTCGTAAATATTGGTACATCTGCGTGTGATTGCCTCCTATAATATTGTTTTGTCAACATATTACTAATTAACGTACATTGTCGAGTAAAGTTCTAAAATCAAAACAATAACAAATAAAATAAACTACTTGATTAATTAAAGTTTTTAATGAACAATAAATTTGAAAATATATATAAAGCCACATAGAAAGTCATAAATAAACCTGAGTGCATCAAGGTTCATTGTTATTTGGAAAACGTGCTTGATTACGAGATCAGCTGGTATAAGACACACACATACACATGAATACAGTTCACCTTTATTATCATCTGTCCAATGACTTGTTGGTACGCATACGTAACATGTACTTAGTAGCTACTAGTATTTCTACCTGTACACATTTTGTAAAGTAAGGGAGATAGCTCTGCAGAGTAAACATCGTCGACAGCGTAAATTATCCCCGCACGAATAGTTTTGACCTTCAAATCGCGTAATTATCACCCAGCGTAACTATCCACATTTACAGTATTAATGTCCATCAACATCTAAGGTCACTTAAAGACATTATTTGTGAGGGCGAAAATTCACTGCTTGAATACGAATTTCATTGATGAAGGGATGAAGTTTGACTGGGTAAAGTTTTCTAGATATCTAATGGTATTTTGGAGATACATGTACTTTTTCTTTAATATTCATAACATTTTGTGGTAAATGGATTAGAATGTTAAAATAAATGTAATTATGGATTTTATTAAGGCGTTTTTGTGGTGGGTTAGTCAAATGAGAAACCTGCAGTACAACACAGGGTATTTATCATTTACTGTGAAGTGGTTTATCAATTAAAACCCTGTGCTCTTCTGAAGTTTATCTTCAATTTAACCCAGCAGAAAAAACAGCTTAACACTCTTTGTTTTACTTTCATGTGTGTCTAAACTCTGAGCAAATCAAAGATGTGAAAGTGAAGTTGGTTATTATTGTTTCCTTTCGGCCGACTGACAGAACAGCTGTTATGTTGTACCTGTTTTCTAGCAATTTAAATTGTCACAGGGATTTTAGATCTTCTAAAATCTGGTTTATATGAACCAAAGGCATAGATGAATAATTATAATGCGAAAACTGTTCTCTATTATTTTAACCATTGATACTGTATCGAAATCATAATATATAAATCACTACAGTATATAAACACTATTTCTCCCACAACAACTGTAGGTTTCCTTACTCCCGACTCATTGGATAAACCTGCTAGGAGTTGGTAAACATTTTTGGTTACCCAACTGTTGGTATCACATTGGATGTTATTTCATTGGTCAATCTTCTTATTATGATGTAAAATAACAATTATGCTCTACGACAGCATTTTCCATTGTGACATCATATAGTTCATAGCAATTTAGGGACAGTTTCCCCAATCAGAAACAGGAATAATGTACATCTGTATTCCCAAGAAAAACGTGGTTTCCTAATTGTAATATCTGAACGTTGTGGGAGAAAAAGGTCCCGAAACTTGTGATGGTTGATAATCATATTTATTGAAATCTTGCTTGTTAATTTTAAAATTGTAATAAACACTCAGTAAACTTTATGTCTTTATGAAATTTAAAAATTAAGTAACTCGAATTTGATAAACATGATAAATTACCAGCACTCATTGAGGAATGTCTATATAAACCATTGATGCATTATATAAACCATTGTTACAATTTATTAATAAGAATTATATATTCCTCCATTATATAATTCTTTTCATAGATGATTTTTTATTTGTGTAAATTACTTTTTCTTATCTTTCAGTGGGCACAATGGTATCAAATCAGTTCAAAGCTTGTTGGGATCTGCTGTAAATGTAAGTATAAAGAATATTCCATAATGAAATTTTCTTTTTATTTTACATCATTGCTCTGTTTAACCTATGGTGAAATTTGATTAAAAAGATTATGAAGCTGGGTACATTTACAATGTAACAATCAAGGACACTGCAAAATATGAACCCCAGTGGTAGTTGAATTTCACATAAAAACCTGTCTCAAGAAATTGTAGTACATGAAAAGAATTTCATAATTGCATGCTATGCTGTATATGTAAACACTATATAAATACAAAATTGTAATAAAATGTAAATATATAAACTATAGTTATTTTTCAACAATTACCAAACAAGTAATTTGAACTTGGGGGTGTTAAGGTGAAAGGAAACCTGAGTACCTGGAGTAAACTCAAGTGGTGGGGCAGGTGACCTGATTCCCCCACCCTTCTCTAGTCCGATCAGGGAATAAAACCCAAGCCACCCAGGTGAAAGACAAGTGTGTTATCCACCTCGCCACCTGACCACCCACTATAGTAAAATCTCTTCTCCAACAAAAATACATATTATGTGTACATTATGTATTTACATGTATATCTTTTAATAAAATTTTCCTTTTTGCAGAAGATGTTCAAAGTACGCATTGGGATAGACCGACCAAGCAGTAAAGACGAGGTGGTAGAATATGTTCTGACAAACTTCACTCAAGAAGAAATGACTGGTGTTCAGGAGGGTGTAGCGAAGGCACTCCAGTTGTGGACATGGCACCTAGAAGGCCAAGGGGAGAATGTGCTCCTTCTAACCAACCTCTACGGGATAAATCCAAAAATAACACAGAGTCTAAATCGCAAAAAGAAAAAGGAAAAGATTAAATCTAAGGACACAGTATTGTCAGATAAAACAGATATAGGTATATCAACAACATCCAGGACACATTTAGAGAAAGGTGTGGTATCTACGGACAAACATCTAGATACAACATCAATATCTGGGCGACAAAGAGTGGAAAGTGTGTCATCTGCAGACAAACAACAAGATAGAATATCTAGGACACATTCAGAAGATGGGGAGGTAACTGTTGACATGGAAGTTAAAAGGACTAAAGGTGAATAGAAAGTAGTGATGTGTATTCAATGAGGTCAAGGTCACTTGAATGAAGGGTTGTGTGTATAATGAAGTCGGTAAACGACAGGGGTGAAAGGTCAACATAATGTAATGGTGTGAATTATGAGGTCAATTACACAAACTTGACCAATTCTAGAGGTCATATTCCGTGAGAGTGTTGTATGTATGTTGAGATGGAACAAGGCAACAAATTTACCTTTTAATGTATTAACAATTTAACACAAATATTTACTGTTTACTGTGAGACTTTCGTCCAGGCAAATTTTGCCCTCCACGGGTAGAACCCGTTTTCATGCAGTGTTAATTCATTTAACGTGGTATTTCTTGATAGAGTATGTTGGGTTCTTCTTTTCACTGCTTTGATAAAGTCGGCCTCACTACGGAGTGTCAAAAAACCGAAGATTAAACTGCGTTGAAAATTTTCCTGTTTACGGTATCATAGGTAGTGATGTACATCTGGTAAGGTCATCAAGAATACAGGAGTGACCAGGACGAATGGTCAAAAGGATGTTCTAATGTGACCAGCACTGAAGGTTGTTAAAATGAAGTGGTGTGTGAATCTATTGTTGAAATTTAATGGCCAGTAATAAAGGAAAAAACGTTTTGTGAACTGTGCAAGTTAACTTTTTAAATGTTTTAATTATGTTCAAATAAAGATGATCTCAGGACATACAGGACTTTTATTAGAAATAATAAAGATAAAACAAACCAAATATAATCAGTTGTAGTGTTGTGAGTGTAAAAATCCAGCGGGGCTAGACTTGGATTCGAACCCCAGACTTCAGATTGTTATACTGTTGCTCTAACTGATTGAGCTACCTGGTCAGAAGTGTTTTGCCCAAACTTTTCTACAGTTGTAGCCAAACAGAGGTTAAGGGGAGGTTACTGTGACAGGGAAAACATAATGCAGTAGGACGTTGGGGATCCTTATGTTTGGTGTACTTCTGATAAATGATCTTTAAGATTCTCTATACTGGAATCAAATATCACAACGAGGCAATATTAAACAATGGATAAATGCGACATTCCTGTCATTGATATTTAATTTCGATGAATTATATACCGGTATGTGTTTCATTTTTTCAGCAGTAGTGATCAATTGTTTTTAAATGCGTTTATTGTTGCTGTTAATATTACATTTTCTATGAGATTGTTCCATGTTTTGAATGACCATTCATAAAGAAAAAAATGGTTCTTACTGGTGCTAAAATTAAAGTTTTGTCGAAATGTTTTCTTTGAATGTCCTCATTGTTCCCTGTTTTCAGGTTTGTTTTTCTACATTTTAATTGTGCTGGGTGACAAAATAAAAATTGCTTGCTACTTTATGCAGCTCAGTCACATTCCCTCTCATTCTCCTGTAGATTAAGGTTGGTATTATATATTTGAGTTTCCTGGATATCGTAAAACCCGACATCTTGACGTCTATTTGCCTTGACTGTGTAATCTATCCATATTATATCTGTCTATTTTCCACTTATGTGATGGTTATTTTTTTATATGTAATTTCGTACATAGGATAATATTTTAAAGAATGCAATTTCAGTAGTTCATGTCCTTCCGAAGGATTTCCACATCAGCGTTTCTATGTACAAGTTTTAATAATTTTATATCATTTACTAAAAAAGATAATCTTCCGACTGTGCAGCTAGGAAGATGGATTTTTTTTATAGATAACAAAGTAGGTCTCAGCACTGAGCCTTGTTGCACTGTTCATGTTACCTTTGTCCAATTTTCGTCTTTCATCGACACTCGTTGCTCAGTAAATGATTTCATAACTTATTCCATTTTAGAATATTAAGTTTTGTGGCTTCTAATTAAAATGTTTCTAATACTTAACCAAGGATGGACGTTAGACTGACCAGTCTAAATTATGCCGACATAACCTTTAAAATATTTCAACATATTTTTGAAAATTATGACGACATACAAAAGTCGTGATTATCATTAGATGCAGAAAGTCAATGGCAGAAAAATGGCACCATAGCATTACCCAAAATTATCCAGAATACAAAACTAATTATAACAGATTTATTTTTCAATAATAAATATGTTTACAGCACTGAAAAAGTCATGGAATTTGATTAGATTTAAGTCTGGCTAAATTAACCTTCTTTTTAACCAAGAAAATAATGGAAATAACATGTTTGACCAACTTTAAATTGCAATAACTACCTTGCAAAATCTCAAGTAAAGGGAATTTAAATATATAAAAAAAAAAATACAATATAGATTTGCCAAAAAGTTGCATTGGGATTATTGAAATGAATAGATATAAAATATAATATTATCAAGTTTTTTGGAGTTCAAGATATTTGCTTTTGATGCGTTTTATAGATAGAAATACTATTGGCTAAATATGGTGTCTGTATTAAATAATCATATTTGACCAATGTAGCTTTCACTCCGGACAAAAATGCAGCAACATTGTTGGACTACAGCTGATTTGGAGGTATTCTTTGGTAAAAATTGAACGAAATATCCATTCCTTGAACTTTGACCTTTAAATAGTTCAAACACATTTTCCTATGTGAATGCATCTCTTACCAAAGTCCGAACTTTGGCGAAAACCTCATCTCGTGCGATTTTTCTTAACGGTCCAAAACGGCCGAATTCACGATTCCGAACTACAATTTTTTCTTCAGTTTTTCAAAATGAAGATTGACAGGACTTTATCATCAGGAATTACTGGGCGTAGCTGGGATATAAATCTTGTGTATTTATATATATGTATATTTATAAGTATTTACCACGGACTTAGATAATCCACAGGTACTAGCCTCGTCTGTCAATACACCTATACGATTCTATTATAGGTGTATTGACAGACGAGGCTAGTAAAAGTAAGAGTAGGGTATATTTACCGGTACCACCTCCCCGCTTTTTGTGGAGGGTGACCTTGACCTAGAGGTGACCTTGACCTAGATATGCATGCAGGTGGAGGGTGCCTTGACCTAGATATGCATGGAATGTGTGGAGGGAAAACTTGCGAAATGTCTAGCGTCACAGGAATGTCTGACGTCATAAGAATGTGTGGAGGTAAGCTTAACCTTAAATGGTGACCTTGACCTAGGTCAGAGGTGACATATCTGTCTAGCATCACAGGAATGTCTAACGTTCCCCGCCTCAGTAGGGTATACACAATAGTGTTGAGGGTTGTTGGTCTTTTGTTTATAGTTAGAAATAGCCTTTGATTAAAACAAATCATGACGACAGGATAAAATTTAAACAGGTCATGTCCACGATAAAATCCATACCGAGATACAGATTAGGGTTTGTGTGGAGGGGATGATGCATGACTGAACATGACTGTGTGTATATATATACCAGGTAAACCTATGTATGAAATGTTGGTTGGTTACGGGGTTTTCGTCTCCTTGACTAGGCCTATTGCTAGGCTTCATCTCACCGACAGATGTCAATGTTCTGGCAACGTTCTGAAATGTATGTTGTTTGGAGGATTTAAGGTAACTCAGCAGGATTCGTGTGTAGGGTATAGTTTAAATGTATAACATAATAGTGTGGAGAGTTAAAATAGTCTTTAGTTATTGACGCCTTTGAAATCGGTTAAACAAGTCACGGCAGAACACAAATGGAATACATTGACTATTTAAATGGTATTATCAGCAAGACACTCTGCTACAAAGTACATTTCATGAATAGCTTAACCACAAGTAAAAGCTATTAGTATGATACAAAGCACGTCAACAGCAGCAATGTAGTAGGAAAACCTCACCAGAAACTGAGAATAAAAATGGACATAGAATGAAAGGTTCAACACAAACAATTTTATTAATCAACAAAATGTACACATCATTTAAGCCAACAAGAAAAAAACCTATGTTAGGATATATCGACTGAATAATTCAAAGTTATTAACACTTGATTTTCGACACATATAATGTTTCAATACTAACAAATTTAATAATCAACATCTTTAAAAATTTAACATGACAATGTAACAATTGAGTATCTGAAAAAACGTTCCAAAACTGGCCCCAACAAATACAAACGAACTCGCCCGTAACAGATTTTTTTATTCAGGACATAGCAATAAAGTCACCTGTTTCATGTGTGGAGTACATTTAAGCTCCTGGGCATCCTAAGATTCCGTCAAAATTGAGCATAAAAAGTGGTCGACTGATTGTGTGTATTTACAAATGGTCATACCCCTATACGTCTAAGGTTACACAGTATCGTGGTAATTTATAATGGAATTATTTGAGGAGATACTTTATTCCTACATGAGAAATCGTATCGAGGAGGGTCAAGCTAACCAGCAAGGACATGCCCGTGTCATACTTGATAGTGAAGACATACTAGAAAGATATTTCGAAGAAGCCCTGTCAACCGTCAACCATTTAGAAGTGGAGAAATTGTGGCGCCAATTTACTATTCAGTCCTGTAATCCTTCACACGTGTTACAACCTTTAATGGAAGAGGAGGATTTCCGCTATGAAGACTATGTGAAACAACATTTCAGTGGGAACATTCTCAAGTTTGTGAAGAAAATAGACATTGTCAGACTAAGACTCTATGTTTGATATGCACACTTAAAACAACCCCTAAAATGGCGAATGAAAGAACTTATATCGAGACTCTTTATTTAATTTTGTGGTTGCTTTTACTTGTATCAACAATCATTTGAAAATGATGTTATAAGACTTTTATAAAGGAAGTGAATCGATGGAAAATTCACAACGACATGAGAAACGATTATATTTCAAATGTGTCTAGCGTAGAATGGAAAAGTAGGGAAAAACAATATGTGATGCATAAAGAAGATTAATGAAATCATTCAATTTATACACTGGTCAGAAAGTCGCTTCATAAAACCATAACGACTATCATTTTTTTACTAATTTATGTGGAGACTTTTAAGACAACAGCTCGAGTATGTATTAGCTAACCCATGTATTGTTATTAAAATGTTAACTGATTGTCTGTCTTGTCTTTATCATATTGTCAACATGAACATTTCGTCAGTGTGTATATTTAAATCATTAAATTGTGTGTAAACGAACATGCTTTTTATCATTAGTTTTATATTTTAACAAATCCAGATGACCGCTGAATGCGACATGTGTAGATCAGGTGAGAGATAACATTTCCAAATGTGTGAGTTCAATCATCACCATAGCCAACGGCTAGGACAAGTAGATACAACAATGTCTATGAGGCTATTCCGTCTTTGCATATTGCAGAGTTATCTTCTCTTATGAGCAGGTATTGATTGTTACGTCATTGGTTTGTGTGAAAAAATTACGTCGTTTTCTCAAAAATTGATGACGTTGCTCTCACAAACCAATGACGTAACAATCAATACCTGCTCACAAGAGAAGATAACTCTGCAATACGCAAAGACGGAATACATAGTATGCCCAATTAAAAAACTTTTCTAATCAACATTATATACACAACATTCTATCAAACATTAATGAAAACTAGTTAAGCTTATCATAAAGTAGGTTTTTTTTTCTTTTTCTTTTTTAAATATTGACAAAAAGTAGGTTTAGGATTAGGTTTTTTTAATTGTGAGTTGATAATGTAAAATTTAGTTTTCTTACTTTTAAAAGATCATATTATATAATGTCACAAAAAATATTTAACTCTTTAGAATCCAGTTTGTATAACTTTAATATGTGGAAACATTTTTAGCATAGCACAAATTAGAGTTTATTCAAAGAAGTACAACAAACAGTAAGAATAGTTTATATAATTCAGCTAAAAGACTTTTCGTAACATAGTTTTATTCAAACTAAATTCTTTTGAGGTACTTTGTTTATACAATAGAAACAAAACTATATTTTTCTATAAGATATGGTACTACTACATACAAATGTTAATTCTAATAAAACTCAACAAATATGATGTATATGGTTCAAAACAGCATCAAAT